ACTCAGTCCAGTTAGACCCAGTCTATGTGATGGTGTTTGTGGACTCAGTCCAGTTAGACCAGTCTATGTGATGGTGTTTGTGGACTCAGTTAGACCAGTCTATGTGATGGTGTTTGTGGACTCAGTCCAGTTAGACCAGTCTATGTGATGGTGTTTGTGGACTCAGTCCAGTTAGACCAGTCTATGTGATGGTGTTTGTGGACTCAGTTAGACCAGTCTATGTGATGGTTCCCCACCACATGATGGATGATCTAGTATACAAATATCTGTGATTATTGACTCAATGTTGAGATGAGATTTTAATGTGAACTGGAGCAGACAGTGATTTTATGACATGTGCAAGTTGAAGTTTTTCCTGAAATATTCCGATATTCAGATTATTGTAGCTATGATGGTATGGTTATTGATATTCCTTGGCGGGCACACCAATTCCATGTTCTTTGTTAAACAGCTTCAGTTTTTCAATGTTCACTTTGTTATTTGATGTAATACTGCTGTCAGACGTTTGTGATAAGCAAGCTTAGGTACAGTAAGTTAAAACTTACAAAAATAAAACAATAATTGGAGTAATTTTATGCTTATAGCAAAACATTACATATGAAAAAATGTGTGTTTAAAATTTGTCACAAATTTGCATTACATTAACCCCTTGCTGAAGATGATGTAATTTCAGTGATGCTGGTATGATCCAATATCTGCTTCCTGTAGTCAACATTGTTGTAAGAATTTGTGAAGTGTGCATGTTGCTGTTTCTGAAGTCTTCTCCAGTACCAGACAGATGATTTTTGTCTGAATATGAAATGTTTTATGTATATGTAATATTATTATGCTGGGGTACTTATAATTGTACAATATTTTTAATGGTGCTTTGCTGCTTTAATGCCATTTTATTTATCTTGCAACTTCTTAATATCATCATCACCATCATCATCGTCACTGTTTTAACTTTGTGGATTATACTGATAACTAGGGCTAGAATGTGTTCTTTTTATTATATTATCAAGTTTTAAGTAGTATTTTTAATTAATGTGTATTATTTTTTTTTATAATTGCTGATTATATTTACTTATTGTTTGCCAGATATGTTTTATCCCTGTCATTGAAATGTTGGTAGTCCTTCCTCGAAAACCAAAAGAAGACCCAGTTTACACCAGACGTTTTAATGTGTGATATTTTGGTTTATCACCTCATAGAGCAATGAAGACACATGAGCTTAACTTATGAAGTTGTAAAAATTTTATGCATAGAAATCAATGAAAATTGTAAAAATGTGGAAAAAATTGGACAGATAGAAAAAAAAATATCCTTACAGCTGATGTAAGTGTTTTAATCAATGTTTGTGTTTATCTTTTTAATTGTTTAATTTATTCATCTATTTATTTGTTCTATTTAACATGTGTCTTCCATAATTTGGCTAATACACCAAATATCTAGTGCTGTATGGTTTGTTATCATCCTGTTCATTTGCTAAACATTTGTCCAGGATCCATTGAAGATTTACTGGGTTGCAAACTTATGTTGAATAATTTTAACAAACATATTATTATTTTATTTTACATTATGTTTAATTCTAAATCTTGAGAATAAATTATTGCCAATTTTAGCGATGTGATTGTTGTTGTATTGGTCATTTATCAGGGCCTTTGTTTTATTTACAAAAATCATCAAATGTAAATTTTGAGACTTTTTCATATCAATCTTTTATATGATTTTATTTTGAAAATTCTTAGGTTACCAGAGTGCACGCGTACGATTTGCATGTCTACAGTTGTTGAATAACAGAAAATGCAGGAACAGGAAATTTAGTTAAAATAACAATGTTTTACAAATTGAAACAATACAATAAACACGAAGATCCTTAAAAGTCCACATTATGCAGTCCTATATTTAATTCTCCCCCAGTCCTGTGCCGCCTGTTCGATAAAATCCCTTCATCACGTGTTCAATTCTGACGTACTGGCGTTCAGAGGCGTCCTCTAGCGGCTTGTCCACCTTATGTCCGTACATGGATGACGACAGGGTGGGGACTGGCTTCATTTGTTCCTGAAATAAAAATAAGTTTGAAATTGCTATTATAAAATTAGATTAAGTTGCATTTATTTATTATCTTTCTGACTAAAGTTGTCTATATGTGAAAATACATCTAAACCGACAGTATATTATTAGTTAAGCGACGCGATATTTCTTAAGTTGATATATTCACTAATTTCACATGCATGTACAAATAAAAATTCATTGTGTTAACATTTTCAGCAACCAATTATTTATTTCATTTATGTTTTATTTCTTGAAAATTGACACACACACATATCCATCCCCTACCTCCTCGTGTATCTTCAGCCCTCTCAGCGTGTGAACGTCGTCGCGGTGCAGCTTAGCGTCGTAGCCGTGCTGCGTGTGAAACAGACGGTCGTAAGTCGACAGAGACTCATTCTGGAAAGTTGAAACAAATATAGTAATTTTAGGGCGCGCTCAGGGCGGTTAAAATAAAACCCGTATGAGTATTGAATTTAAGAGGTGGACTCTAGATTGTTATCACCGGCTATGAAACCAAGTGTGACAAGAATGTCCTAGTCCTAGGAATGCAAGTGCGGTCTCATATTTTTCTTAAAAGAAAGAGAATACCCACCTTTTTGTTGTTATTGTAAATTCCTAAATTATAGCCCTGAGCGCGCGCGTCCTCCTCTGTGACATCTCTCACGCCTGGCCAGTATTTTGAGCCATCTCCTTTAGTAGACAGGTGGTTTTTATATATCCTCTTTGTGGCCTGAAGGTTGAATGTGGAACTTATTTCATAAGATACAAAATCACAACCGACATTATGACAACTTTCGAGAAATTCATATAATAATTAAAATAAACGGGGCGTCATTCTTTCCACTAAAATGCATTGATTCACTGCAATATGACTATTATTAACGCCAAAAAAGTGCATCTGATTATTCATCTTGAAGCACAAACGACGAAACATCCCAAGAATTAAAATTCTTACATTTATTATCACTTATTTTCTCCTTTTTTTCCGTTTGCCTTTTCATCTAATCTCTTTCTAAACATCCCCAGTAGTTAAACGGGTATACTCATNAGAGAGATGAAAGACGGAAGTGGATCCAGTGTTTTAATGATGTGACAGCCATTATTTTTGTCACAGCTTGTAGTAGCTACAACATGGTCCTCCGAGAGGACCCTAGTCAAAACCGACTTAAAGAGAGTTTAGAACTCTTTAGGAGCATCTGGAACAATAGGTGAGTAAGATTGATCTCAAAGATAATTTACAAGAATTAATATGAATTATTGAGACTACAATGTCATTTCCTAGGTGGATAAGATGAAAGTAGGTAACATTTTTGTTTTATTGGCTCTTGAAATGATTTTAGACTTTGGCCGTATTTTTGTATTATAAATTCTGATTCATTTTATTGAGAGAGAGGGGGTCTGAAAATGACAGTGTGTGAAAATAAATACCAGATCTGTTGTGGCTGAGATGAGATGGAAGCAAATTCAGTTGTTTCTATATATTAAGTGAAACAAAGGCATTTTATACTTCTTTAGCTTAAATATGAAAAGCACTTTCTTGTAACATTTCCTTGTAACTGTAAAGAAAAGAAAAATAAATGGAAACAGGTCCATCTTGATCCTTACTGCTTAATGTAGAGAGTGCTGCCATCTTTTGGTTGATCTGTAAAACACTTTACATCAGTGACAGGAAATAGAGATTGTCACATGACCGCAGTAATCAATATGAAGTAAGCACAATCCTTTTAAATCTGTATCAATTACTGATAATTCATGCTGTATGTAATGATGGGGTTTATTCCTGCATGTGTTCAGATGAGACAGGACAAAGTTTTGGAACATTCCTGCCAGAGATTTGGTGAACATTTTATATTTAGTATATTTATCAAAGATCATGATGTAGAATATATACTTTAAATCCAGATATTTTGTTATGATGACAAAGTACATCTGCCTGAATCAAGCTTCATTTTTGTCTCAGATAGCAGCACCCATAATGTAAAAATAAATCCTTCACAACAAAGAACACAGAAATTAAAATCTTTTTTGGAAAAAAAAATCACTTGATATTAAAGGTTATTGACCTGAAGGCAGTGCGTAGAGTAAAGCTGAAGAAGGCTGTGCAGTGATTTGTTCATATAGCCAGGCAGATATGATGCCTGTCCTCAGCTGATCCAATTGACTGCTATATCACTGTGCTAGCAACTCAGCTGCACAATGTCTGCTCTTTAAGAATTGATTTCTGTGCTGGCACTGGGTTCGTTCACTCGTGTCTTAGAATCAGAGTCGGTCAAAATGCCTTCAGCTATGGCAGCAGTCAACTTAACACGTTCTGAAAGAATTGATTTCTTGTGCAGGCAGTGGACATATTAACGGTGGTTCAGACATGGATTTGGTCAGAATTCCATTAGTGAGAACCACATTGTTTGATTTGTGTGTACAACAAGATCAGTATGTTTACCATTTATCTATGATTACCTCTCATTTTTGTTTATTTTCTAATTTTCCAGGTGGTTGCGCACAATCTCAGTAATTTTATTTCTAAACAAGCAAGATTTATTAGCGGAAAAAGTGATGGCTGGCAAATCAAAAATTGATGATTATTTCCCTGAGTATCGAAGATATGTAGTTCCTCCTGAAAGTGAGTGCTTGAACAAATATTTCCTTGATGAAGTATCTGTAGGCCTATGTGTTTTTGGAAGTACAAGATAAAAAATCAGGACTCAAAACAGTGAAAAAATTAAACGGGGAAATGGTTCAGTCTGTGGATGTTGTCATTGGGGAACATCTTTAAGTCAAGTTATAATGTATTTTTGTTAGTGATTTTTTAAGAACCTTTTCTGATATCATAATGTGCAACCTTAATGCTGAATTTATCAGGTTGTTTTAAAGTCTTAAATTACGTTTTATAATTCATAGTTATGCTGTAATATATTTTGCTACTCTGTATAACTGACAGTTATATTACCATTGTATAAAGTTTTGCTCTATCATTTAATTCACAGTAAACATTGTTTAATATTTTGCTATATTGTAATAACTCAGTTATATCATACCATTGTATAATATTCTGTTTGATTTTCCAGTCCATGAACCAGGGGAGCCAGAAGCTGTCACAAGAGCCAAATATTTTATTCGAGATGAATTTTTGGTTTGTATACATTTTGAGACCAAATGATTTTTAAAGGCCTTTGGAGATACATATTTGTCAGAAAAATAGTTTTAACTGGATTGATTTCACATGAAAGAGTCCAAAAGAAAGAGTAATTTATTCAAAGTCAGATGGTCAGAAATAGACTAGAAGAGCATTTGTAAGACTAGACAGAGAAATCTAAGGTGCAACACTGTGACATACTGTAATTTGCTTGTCTGCCAATCTGGGCCCCGTAACTTAAAAGCATCGCGCATTGCGACCGAGCGCAAGCGTTTTGATTCCATAACTCGCCCATACTCATCCCCATATAATACATTGTAGCTGCTATGTGATATCGCTATTCGAAATATGCGATGCTTTCGAGTTATGGGGGCCTGATAGTTTGATTATGATTTAATGCGCAGTATAGTGTACTATGGTCTTATACGAAATGTGCCTTTTTATACTGTGCTCAGAATAAGAATAAACACTGGGTAATATCAGTAAGGCATAGATATCTCTTTTTTAATAGCTGTAGATTTCTTTCCACACTGGAGGGTACTATAGCATGAAACAGTAAAACTGATGGGGCAAGGCAGAATTATGCCAACTTTACACATAACATGAACGTCACTGACATGACTTAGAGAGTCACTTTTCATGGGCCGTTAAAGAAGTTGAAGTATTTACACTTCCAAGTTACTGGAAAAAGTATTTTATCTTTATCTGTCCTCCCTTCCATTTTCCAGAGGATTAGCACAGCCAGTGGAGACGGGCGCCATTACTGTTACCCTCATTTTACATGTGCAGTGGACACTGAAAATATCCGCCGTGTATTTAATGACTGTCGGGACATCATCCAAAGAATGCATTTGAGGCAGTACGAGCTGTTGTGAAGCCAATGGGACTGCTACTGCAGCAACTTCTGTAAAGTTATTATTGGACAACTAGACTTGAACTTGAGATGATGTTGTTGTTGATGATGACAATGATGATGTTGATGCATCACTGTTGATGAAGATGAAGAAGAAGAAGAGGATGGTGGTGGTGATAATGCCGTCACTGCCTCTGCCCAAATGGAAAAACTTGCCTGTGATGTGCACTGTGTTGTTGTGAGCAAGCTTGTCTGTCAGTCAACTGGACATCAAGGATTTGATTGGCTGGATTCAGTGAATAGGATGGAGCCATTAGAGGTCAAAGGTGAAGGTCAGGGGTTGCCATAATGTTGGAGGGAAACAAGAAGCGTAAGAAGACTGTGGAACAGCCTAGTGTACAAATAGTGTATATTCTTTTCATGGTACCAAGATTAACTGCAGTTTGTACATATTTTGTGTCCATTTTGCCAATGTATAAAGGAAAATAATTACCACATTGCAGCAGCAGTAGTAGGTTCCTGCATTAATAAGTAACTACAAGGGGCTGTAGAATCAAGCCAGTGACTGTGAGAACCAACATCACATAACGTAACAACGTAACATTTTGTTGACTTATTACATGTGCAGAAATGTGGACGTGTGAGCAAGCACACGCACATGCATGCACCCACATATCCAAAAACAGTTGAATGTAGTAACTTGATAAACTGGGGTATGTGAAGCAAGCCAGCTGTTTGACTCCCGTATATATATATATATTTATATATAAGTATATATGTGAGTATATTTATATCTATATATATATTTATATGTATGTATATATATATAGATAGATATATACACTTACAAGTAGTCTTATGTATTCATAAGCTTTTGTTAGCTTGTCTTTGGTTCTATCTCGTATATATATCTATATCTATTAGATCATATGCAGAAAGCTCTATGGTGATGTCACACAGGAGACATGCTTGGTTCATAATCTATAGCAGTGCTGTCTGTGCTCTTCTTGTACTAGTCGCTGTATCAACTAGATTACGACCAGGTTTCTAGGCTGAAGGGGGCAAAACAGTATTTATTGAAAGCTGCAGAAATAGACAAGAAGTACGTGTACCTGCTCAGATTTGCTCTCGCAAGTTGGTTTATTTTTGACAGAAAAGGTTTTTAGCTGAAACATACCTATTGACTAAAAATATTTATTTATGTGTTCATTTTCTGCCACTGAACTAATTAATTTAGGTCTTGAGAAGATGTACTGAGTCGGGACTGTGACAGTGCACTCTGGAATTCTATATGGTATAATAACAGTGCTTGAGTTGACCAATACTAGCATTAACAGCCTTAAAGTTACATATTCTGTTGCATTTTCATTTCACTTAGCTGACATATGCTGTGTATCTGAACTTTGATCTTGTTATTGAATTCAAAGTAAAGATTTACACATTTTTCAACTTTTTAAAAAGGATCAGATAAGCATTCAACATTTTATTTGTCATCAAGTAACAGTTGTACTTTATGCCCAAAACCTAATCATTACTCACCTAGGGTTTCAGTGCCTTTGTTGAAGCACGTGACAGTTGATGTTAGTGAACTTTCATGTTTATTGCGTGAGAAATGGAAAAGATTGACCTTTTAAAAACTGCTTCAGCTTTTTCTGTGTTAACAAGCATATGATAGAAGAAAGATGTTGGATCTTGTACAGCATTAGTTGTACTGAAGTTAGAGTCAACAGTAAGCAAGGGAAAGAGTGCACCATTTAATATAATATTGTCATAGCTTTACATGTAATGGCAATAGCAGCAGTCTCACCACTAAATGAACATACAGATATCACCATCGTACTAGTGGGGTCTGTCCAACTCAAGGTTGGGGGGGGGGGGGGGGTCTGGCTATTTGCAGTCGGCTTAATTGTATGGCATGCCTCCTTGAGAAGCTACTTAAAAGTTAATTACCCCTTAGCTGCTTGAAGAGGCTTGTTAGACAATTATGCACTTAGCGAGAATCCTTCATGGAGTTTGGACCAGCCCAACTAGAACGATGATTCTATCTAAATGGGGTCTAACACTTCACTAGACAATTATTTGGATAATGTTGTTTAGGTGACCATTGTATTGAATCACAAACTTTCTGGTTCTTCTCAATGAGCATCTGTTGATCAAGTCAAGCTGACCTTTGACATCTGGTCTCTTATTGACAGAGGGCTCTTCAATAATGAAACAAAGGGATAACTATTTTCCTAGTTGATTAACTGGTCATTATCACAAGCAGTGAGATGTATGTTTTGTATCTTTCTCTTTTGAACATCTGGCAGCATTGATCTCTTTAAGAAGAACTGTGATGTGGAGGCTAGATGACTTGGATTGATTCAGATTGTTGCTGAGCTGAGCATATCTATCTTCTAATTCTGACTCTTAGTAAGTTTGGCTATAATATTTTGGTTGCAAGTAAATCTGGCTTAAACAGATTACATGTTACTACCTGGACAGTGGGTGTGATTGTTTTCAGCACAAAATGGTTTAAATACTTGGAATTACCACTAGGCAGAATACAAAATTTTTTTCATGTGTCTATGTATTTCAGTTCATTTATAACAAGCTACCCAAGATTGGTATTGTATGAAAAAAAAAGATAATGGTAATATTGATCGTTTTATTTTACAGTACAGTTTACAGTTGTAGGTGCAGGAGTCACTGGGTATATGATGATGATTATGAGATTTTTCACTCGGATGAGATATGTAGTTCACTGAGAATTGAGAACAGTACCAGTTGGCTGAGAAGTCTTAAATATTCAGTATAATAATGATACTGATTTCAGAAGGTTGTATGGGTTTGAGTATTTTGGTAAAAGGATTATATTGATGAAAAAATTAGTTCCGTCTAACAGTGAAAGATACCTTTTGTTATATTACTATGGAAGTGTATTATTTTATGTCTTTTTCTGTTGCATTTCATGTTTTTGTTTGCACAACATTTGTGTCACAAACCTCAAGTGGTGGGTGCAAGTATGCTCCACTGCCCCCTAGCATCAGGAAGCCTGTCTACTACTGCTGCCCCCTATGGACTGATTATGTCACTCATAAATGCTGTCCAAAGTAATGTCTAGATCACAACAGGCTCTTATAGACCTCTTATTCTGTTTGAATGAAGTCAGCAGACCTAATCAAGATAGAACCTACACAGTTCAGCAAAGAGAATTTCTTTTTAGTTTCTGTATTCTGCCAAAAGTTGCTTCTGTGGAGCATTGCCTTGTGGGTAACTGTATGGTTACAGTGAGAAATGTTGATACCATGTAGGCCAAACTGATGTAGACCTGAGCATTTGATCTTATTTACTACAGGACAGATCTTTTACCTGCTGACCTTCACAACACATGGGAAAAGAACAAGTGTTAGCGTGGTCTGTGCCTTTTGGCATTTCCTGCTGGTTTTTATCTGTTGCCATCCCAGCCTGTTTTCCTTTTATATGAGCCTAAACATTGTACAAGTATCTTGAGCAAAACAGTGCTTAGGAATCCCTTTCAACTCTAATATTGAAGTGAATATTTTTCTGCTTTTAGCTTGTATTTTTATGCTAGTGAGTTCTGATACTAGGCAAAATGGCATGGCTTTCTTTGGTAGGGCAGTGTCAGATTGTAAAAATAAATAATCAGGTCACATAAGACCGTGGTCACCAAAATCTTACACTCATCATGCTTAGAGCAAACTTGAAATTTGAAGTCTTGAGATCTCTTACTTTCTTGTACTACACTTTGCTCTTGAAATGACATGTAATGACCTAGGAACATCATTTGCAAGGTCATGTAAGTCGACTGACTAGTAATTAGTCTCGATTTAGGCCAGACCTCATCCTCGTCCAATCAGCTGTGCTTTTACATTTTTGTATAGATAGATATATATATATATTTTGTCATGCATTTATAGTTCTGCATTTCTGCTTTACTACAGAAACAGCACATGTATTTGCTTAAAAGAATACTCCCAAGAAATGGAACCATTTTGTGTATGATGAAAAATAGATTCTCAAGTGGAGGGCCTTTGGTTTCATCTTTACTTACTGTCATTTTGGAAAAGATCTGGGGGAAACCTCTGAATACTACAGCTGATTCCATTCCCTGGTTTTTGCAATGAATATTTGCTTGTTGGTTCTTGTGTAGTGCTATGATATCTTGGCACAGTTCAAGGTGATTTGATGGGCTGCTTGAGAGGGCTACAACTCCCTGTGTCTCTTAGTGTGGTGACTTCAACTTGATAACACAGTATCAGTTTCATAGAAAGAGAACGGAACTTGGCATTTGTGTAGTGGCAAGAAAAGAGGGGGGGGGGGGGTCCCCTTTTTAATAATTATTTTCTTTTGCCGTGTTGGCAGGTTGGAATTTATTCAAAGATTTATTCTTAGTTATTTTCTGTATTTGAAGGAGGTCAGTACTGCTAATGTGTTCAGCTCTATCTCCAACTTTTACATAAGATGTTTGATTTTTGGGGGAAGTACTATTGAACAGCAACAGCAGTATCCACCATTACTTACTGTGGAAAAAAATACTTTCAGAATTGCTTTTATAAAACAGGTGGCCTGACTTTACTGTATTTAATATGGTGAGATGACCAGTTGAGCTCTACAGTGCATTTTATTTCACGCACTGACATATTAGATTAAGTATTCTTATCGACTTCAGTGGAATGCTAATTGATGATTCTACATTGGAAACACATTTTATTACCTTTGTTTTGTACTATGGTCCTGGCAAGGTACATCAAATGTGATGTATATGTATAAGGTATATGTAAAGGCACAGCCATTCTAAATTATTTTAATGAGTTTCCTGCATTGATTTGAATTTTCAAGGTAATAGGGATACGATGTTCACTGCAATTTGCCAAGTGTGCCCCAGTATGTGCAAACAAAGGAAAAATAAATAAATAAAATGACTCTAAAATCACCCAAAACTGTAATTTGGAAGACAGGTGAATTGCAATCAACAAAGTTGAACTTGACCTTGACAATTCAGCTCTAATATAAGTTCTAATATAATCGGAATAAGATTGCGATGGATGTGCCCAGTTTTGTCTCTGCTGCTTGGACTGGCGATAGGGACAGCACATACTGGCTAGAAAAACTTTGACGTTCCATAGTTATTATTACTATTATTATAATGATCATACAAAAACACAAGGCAGAGCAACTGCAAGGTACCAATGTTCTGTATGTATCCATACAATGTCATGATATTCCAGTCACTTGCTCTGCTGGATCTGCTTCAAGTTGACTTTGTTCCACTTTGTGCTGCAGTCAAATAATCAATATGTGTTGATGTTTCTAGTTAGCAGCTATACTACTAGCTATACCAGGCCCATGCTGGGAGGAGATTCTTCAGCCTTTGTTGTCTGTCTTTTTTAAAGTCTAATTATTATTAGTAGTAATATTATTACTATCTTATTATGAATTTCTTAATTAAAATAAAAGCCTTGGTCTATATAGCAGTTGTTGTGGTTTCTTGATTTTATTGGTTTAATTTTACATGATGCATAAATGCTATTTTAGGATAAACAAAATGTTTACGAGTAAGACTGACAAGCCGTGTTGGAACATTCTGAACTTTTGGATTTTTTTATGATAATGTATATTTTATGATAATGTATAATTTCAAGTCTGACGCTATTCAGAACTTCATGTTTATAGCTATTCATTAGCAATAAACTGGGCGCAATGACAATAGCTGGAAAATTTCATAAGTTTGTAAGTCTGAAGCAATTTAAAAAAATGCTTTCAAAAAAAAAAAATTCCTATCAGTCATTGCCTTCCACAATCATCTGCAGATGAAGAAGCTGCTGAGGAATTCTGAAATTTTATCAATGCCTGTAATATGTTCCATTATAAATGTGTTTACCTGCAAATTTATTCCAAATTATACACCGGCACCTGCAATCTGCAACATCCATGCAAGGCCTGCAGCCAGCAATTCAAAAGTTTTTTTCCAGAAAAAAATGTAGTGTTTTGTTCCCTTAGACCCCATTCCCACAGATTTTAAATCGATCTATCCCTGTGGGGAGTCTCACTAGATTACTGTTAGCTTAGCCGGCTTAAGCATCTGTCCCACCTACTAAAAGCTGTAAGGGGGTAATTAACTACCGTGCGCGCTCGGCTGACAGCAATTTAGCATAAACCTCCAGGGAGTTAGGTCGATATAGATGGATTGATCTAATTTTATGGGAATGCAGTCTTAGTTAACCCAACTTCAAAAATGGCATTGAACCTAGGTCTATTGTTGTTTCTGTGTAGACCTTTTCTCTCCCAAAGGGCAGCTATTTGGAACCCCTGTCTAAGGCTCTGCACACTTGAGCTCATCCTTCATAATTTTCGACCAAGGTACAAACTGAATTGCTGCCCTGTTGAAATTCTCCTGTTTGAAAAATAAATCCAATTCATCCATTTATTCCACTTCCTTCCATCAAGGTCTGCAACCTTCATGATAAGGTTTGAGATTTCTGAACTCCCGCCATGTTGGAGGTAAATTGTCCTGCAGGTAAGTCTCACATTTTGCACAGGGAATAGTGAACAGAGATGTGTAGCTGTTTAACCAAGTCTGGAAAAATTGAGTACAACAATAAACTAATTATGTGAATTTATTTAAATTGATTAATTATAAGAAAATATTGTGAACTAACTGGACAATATCACTTCTATGAAGAACTAGATCTACACCAAATATAAATTAGTTCAAAACAAGATCAAACATTTGGACGATCTTTTATCCACTTAATAGAACAAATTCTCGCTACTTATCAGGATGATTTGTGACACATTCAGACAGGATTTTTCCATCCGATTTAAACTGAAAAATCAATATTTTCCTGGCATTTTTCTGTCTAAAGCAGCGCCAAGTTGTAGGTAACTGAGCCATTTCTTCTTACTATTCCTAGCAAACCAAAAGCACTGTGTGATCTTTATGATGTATACTCACCAAGAATGATCTGAAAGCAATGTCTGGTCTATGTGGCATGTAGAAATGGAGTAAAGCAGCACACGCATGCTCTGTGATCTGAAAGAAAAGTAGTTTTACTGAATTACTAAGCACTAAATCAAGATACAGTTAACTGTGCACAACACAAAAATTTTAGAACTGAAGATATGTTCAAGAATTGCGCAGAATTCAATCAGGTAATGTTTATAAGTTTTGGCCATTACCAAAACTATTCTACAAGATTTGTTCAAGTCAAACAAAACAATTTTAGTCATAAAGTTATGCATAGTAATGTGTAACTCTTGAGATAATGAAATTCATTTCTGTACTTAACTCTCTTCCAGACATTACACCATTTTACTAATTAGGGCCAACAGTTTCTTTTGCTACGTACATACAATAACCTATATGAGCATTTCAAAATTGGAAAACTTACCTTTAAGTAAACTAAGTACTTTGACTTTGTCCATATATCCAACTATAAGATAAAAAGATTATATGTCATTAATATTTGTTTGTGATTGAACAAAAACATTATAAATACAAAATAAAAACCTTAATTAATGAATTTTCATAGGCTCAGTAATACCACTGGTAATAATTATGGTGTTTGTACTTAGAAGAGAGCTGCAGTTTTAATAATAATTTCTTCCCCAATTGTAACCGTCACAATTAAAAGTACATCTAAAAGAATCTTTTTTTTTTTAATTACACCATTTGTTAACTTACCTCTCCGTTGTCTTTAAAACTTTGTTCGTCTAACCCTCTTACATTAACTGTCTCCAAAATAAGTCCCCGTAATACTATGATAATTTTCATAGCTCTCCCAACTGTAACCTAGAAACAGTTTTAGGTATTATTTCAACATTAACATCTTCTGAGGTATATTTACATGAAAATGTTAACATCCGTATACATTAAAACAACCACAAAGGTAATATGTCTTAAATTCATATGCAGTGCTTATATCACTGATGAGACTTTTCTGACTTTGTAAGGGTCATCTGAGTCATTCTTGTGAATTGTGTACCCTGGACCCCCGGCCAATTTCCCAACTTTTGTCGGAATTCCTACTTTTTCAGGGTCATTTGAGTCATTCTTGTGAATTATGTACCCTGGACCCCTGGCCAGTTTTCCTACTTTTTCAGCAAGGACTGGTCTCATCCCTGTTACATGAAGCCAACCCTCAACAGAAAAACCTTCAATGAATTACATACCTTTTCATGAGAACTGTTTTTGATCTGTGCCTCATTTAGTCTTTATTTAGAATGCCTAATATTGTTCACTTTATTTATAGCGTGATGGTACCTGTATCTTTATGATCGCAATTAGAATATTTCAAAGAAAGTGTCAGTATTCCTGACTTTGGCCCTTACCTCTAGTACCGCTGCTGTTCCTTGAGGCCTGTGGATCTTAATATCCAAATCTGGAAACATTCTTTTCTGAGTATCAATGACAGCATCAATTTGTCTGGAATTACAAATTTTCACAGGGAATACACTGACAGTTTTTGGAAATTTTTTATTGTAATCTTCCCTATCACCCTATCATATCACTTGACCATTTACAGTATCCTGTTATGAATTAGGAAAAAAATGAAGTTATATATTTAAAAAAAAATATCAATCAACTAGATTAAAAAATAGAAGAAATGCATATATTTACAAAGCTGTGTCAAACCAATACTTAAGACTGAAAATTAGACTGTCATAATTTGGGGACATCCAAAAGCACTTTTTCCCCCTCAACAAAATCCTTTTCCTTCATAATCCTTCTTGTCCCTTCAATATCTTCTAATTTAAGACTGGGAACAACTGCTCATCTTAATGAAAGGATGTTAAAAAGAAGAAAAATACTTTAGACTGTCTCAGAATCATGACAGCGGGTTACCCACTTACTGTGGAGGCAGTTTGTGGAAGTTCTGTTGGGCAGTGCGCAGTCTTTTGGCTGCGGGGCCACCTGAAGGCAATGTGGAACGTTTTAGGGAGTTTTGATTTAGGAGCACAAAGGCATGGTTTGCCACATCATGAACCTGAAATGTGAAAATAAAAAAAAAAATAAATGAACAAACAAATAGATAGATAAATAAAAATATTCATATGAAGAAACTGTCTGATGTTACCTGGTTGTGAACCCCAAAATGTTTGTGTGTGCGTGTCATCACAGTGACTCACTTCACATTTTGAAATTGCCCAATTGAATTTCTCAGGATAATGGGTAGATGGAGTGGGTCAACAGAGTGACAGACAACTCACATCATATGTACAATATTGTAAGCCTCCAACATCTCACCTAATTGGACCACTTGTAAGCCTGTAACATCTCACCTTATTGGACCACTTGTAAGCCTGTAACATCTCACCTTATTGGACCACTTGTAAGCCTGTAACATCTCACCTTATTGGACCACTTGTAAGCCTGTAACATCTCACCTTATTGGACCACTTGTAAGCCTGTAACAACTGTGAGTGGAGGGGTGTCTTGTCCAGCACAGGGTCCAAACTGAGCAGTGCAGAGTTCCCTGACAGGAGAGGACCAGCTGGGGCTGTTATCACACTGCCTAGCTTCTCTACCTCTCTGTGATGTACAGAAAATGTTGATAAGCACAATTTAAATCATATATAAAACCCATTACTTGACAGAGTAGTGGAGCACTTTATGTCTTTTCACGACCAGTACAATTTTCTGTTTCGCACCATTTTCGGGGGGGGGGAGGGGGGGGTGACAGAGATATCTTCTAACAATCTTCCAAATTATCTTTGTTGATCCATCCTCCATCTTGACTGTTTATGACAGAAAGAAATTAGATGCCTATCTAAGTAAACTTCAAAAATTCTGAGCCTCTTCTGGAAGACCCAGAAGACAGCTTCTGTTTGCCCCTGATTTTTACTGGCCCTAATATGTAATTACTCCCTTTCACAAGTTTGCTACCAACTGTTTGGACGACTCTAAATTAATTTGGTTAACTGGCTGTGCAGAGTATGGGCCCTGTTTACAAAACTCTATTATGTACTAGTAATGGTATTAATTTCTCAATCTATCAAAATCTATCTGTGAAAAGTGCCTTTTAATTAAAATTCTCGGAATATTACAATTTACATCACCCACATAATCCATCACTTAAAATCGTTTCAAAATAAACCGGGAAGAAAATTCAGATAAACATCGTAAAGCAGAAAAATTTTCTGTACAAGCAAAACCAAAAGACAGAAGCGTACTACGTTTTGTTTGGTGAATAAATTAGCCATAAGAAATAAGAATCATTACATGATTAGGATGTATTTACCCAAGGTTTTGGTTCACTGACAACAAGCCTTGCTGCAACTCATTAAGAAATGACCGTTCTTTGTTTTCATTGCTGTTGTCTTCCTTCATTCCATTTCTGAATCTTTCGAATACTTGGTTAACGCTGGATCGGAGAGTTCTTACTGCTAAAAGCGACCTTGCTAACAAATCTTGAATGTCTGTAGCCATTGTGTAGTTTATGTTATCGGAGTCTAGTTGCACTGCTTTTCAGCATAGCTATTAGCCAAGAAAAGATTTGCCTGTGCTGACCACAAAAACATTAATCGTTTCATCACTGAAAATGTAAAGAAACAGATTCAAGTTTGTATATAGTTACGAACTCTTCAAAACAATTTAACATAAACACGTCAATTCCATAATTTTTTACACTTAGTCTCATCTTGGGTAATATGATACGTTAAGCTTCCTACCCGAATCGGGGCCGTAGCGATAGTCCGAAGGTTCAATAGTCCGAAGGTTCATTGGTCCGAATGTTCACTATAAAACCTTCGGACCAATGAACCCTTGATTAAAAAATCGATGAAAATGTTACCACTTTTCGGACCAATGAACCTTCGGAC